ATATATATATATATATATATATATATATATATATATATATAATAAACAACACATATTTATCTATGTCAGAACAAAAATATGAAATATATACGTAAAAAGAGAGCTGAGTTTATTCAAACTTGCGACGATTTAATTATATACTTACGGACTTGATTTTTAAAGACGAATTTATTGGGAGCTTTTTTAATGTCAAAAGGGATGTCGTTCCAGATTCTGATGGCCATGAGGGCGAAAGAGTTAGATAAATAAACAGTGCGGTGTAAGGGAGTGAGCAACTTAAGATTGGCCGAGGAACGGAGAAAAAATTATGAGAATCTCCCAGGTATTGAAATTTAGATTTCAGATACTCGGGAGCACATGGATCGTTCAAAATTGAGAAAAGGGTACAGAGTATTCTAACATATCTGCGCTAACGGATAGGTAGCCAGTTTAGCTGTGTACGAAAGGAAAATACGTAAATGTATCTGATGCAGTTGTTAAGCAGACGATCCAATGTATTAAGATGAAGTTGAGACAGGTCTGAGCAACACACATCGACATAATCAATAATCGGTACAATAAGTATTGGTAAGGTATTGGAAGAAAGTTTTTAAATCGATATAGAGATCACAAAGTTCCTGTAGTTTTGCGACTCACCTCCTGTATATGTTTGTTCCATGTTAAGCAACCATCGATGTACAGACCAAGGTTCTTTAGGTTAGTAGAGTTTGGTATGATATTATTATTTTATACTCGTAATTGATGGTAGGGTGGGAATATTCATTTATTTATTTATTTTTATTTATTTTATTGGATGTACACAACAGTTTACATTCAATTTTATGTAACATAAATAGCTATTATATACAAAGTTTTGACCTGGAATACAAACCAAAAACGCGTACATACGAGGGTGGATTGAAAAGTACTCGGCCTAACACAGATCCATTCAATTCTAAAAATCAAATCTACCAACATTATTTAGTTCAGTTCAGACTAGTTCATTGTGTGAAGTTCGAAACGTGTGCGATAATTAGTTGTGATTTTATAAATTTATTAACAAAGTAATCGGACATAATTTCCGCGAATGGAGCAAATCGAGCAGCGTGCCGTCATTAAGTACCTCCATAAGAAGGGGCTATCATCAAAAGCCATCCATGATGACATGGTCAGTACATTAGGCGATTGTGCTCTGTCATATTCATCCGTGAAAAAATGGATAGCAGAATTTAAGCGTGGTAGAGAGAGTGTGAAAGATGAACCCCGCTCTGGAAGGCCTTCGACGTCAACTACTGACGAAAATATTAAAAAAGTACTTGATTTAATAATGGGAGACCGCAGATTAAAAATTAGAGAGATAGCCGAGATTATAGGCATCTCTTATGAACGAACTCAAAACATCATTGTCAACGAGTTGGGTTTCCACAAGGTGTCTGCGAGGTGGGTTCCGCGACTGCTTTCAGTTGAACAAAAAAGGACGCGATTGACTATTTCACGCGACTGTTTGGAGTTATTTGAAGCCGATGCAGATGATTTTTTGAATCGTTTTGTTACTATGGACGAAATATGGGTTCATTACTGTACACCGGAAACAAAACAACAATCAAAACCGTGGAGAAGACCTGGTTCACCACCCCCTAAAAAAGGCTAAGTCGATTTTGTCGGCAAATAAGGTGATGGCTTCAGTATTCTGGGATTCGAAAGGTGTGATTATGATTGATTATCTTGAAAGGGGTCAGACTATAAACTCTGATTACTACTGCACCTTACTACGTCGTTTACGAGAGGAAATAAAAGAAAAACGTCGAGGAATGCTCAGAAGAAAAGTCCTGTTTCATCAAGATAACGCCCGTGTTCACACGTCAGTACAGTCAATGGCTGAAATTCACAACTGTGGCTTTGAACTGTTACCGCATCCGCCGTATTCACCTGATCTGGCACCATCAGACTTCTTTCGGTTCCCTAACCTAAAAAAGCACTTGGGAGGTCAAAGATTTTCGACAAACGACGAGGTCAAAGCAGCTGTAGACGCATATTTTGACTCTAAGGAAGAATAATTTTTTTTCAACGGTCTAAATGCTTGGAAGGGGAGGTGGCAAAAGTGTATTGAACTTGATGGTGATTATGTAGAAAAATAAAAATATAACTGATTTAGTATGTGTTTATTTTCTTGGTTAGGCCGAGTACTTTTCAATCCACCCTCGTACAGTTGCAACATGAATTATTCGTAAACATATTTATGTATATATTTAACTCAAAAAAAAAAACAATTTATAAATTTAACAAATTTTACGACAATATAGTGAAAGTTTTATTATGACGATAAATAATTAATGTGGATTTGACTTGAAGTAGTGGAACAGTTGAGTACGACGCTTAGGTATTTACATTATTGTCAAAGACATCAATGTCTGACTCCGTTAGAACTATATCATTATAAGAGCGACACATTCGTGTTAAAGGATTGTAAAATGAAGTATTGTTCTTATAGACGTTTAATATAAATGTATTAAGACGACGCCTGGGATTTGACTTAATATTAAAATTGATTTGGGATAAAAGAAACAATTTTGCAGTGTATTAGTTTATATAAGCAAAGAATATCTTGTATAACACGTCTATTACGCAGTGATGAAACTCCAAATGTAAGTAGTCTCTCCTGATAAAACAGTAGCTTGCGACTTATTTTCAGCCTATAACTAACTATCTTAAGAGCTTTGTTTTGGATCTGTTCTAGACGCTTGGAGAGCAAGTAAAATGGAGACCATACAACAGAACCATACTCAAGAGTACTTCTTATCAAAGCATAGAAGAGATGTATAAATGTGGATGGTTTTTTGAAATATTTGATTGTTCTGGTAATAAAACCTAATGTTTTGTATGACTTAGAAATAATGTGATCATAATGATTTGTGAAAGTAAGTTTTTCATCAAAATAAACACCTAAGTATTTTGCAAATGAATTTCTCATAAGAATTTGACCTTCAAGTATATAATCGTGATTTATTTTTTTACGTTTGTTGGTAAAAGAAATAACGAAGCATTTTTTTTATATGTAAGTTACCTACAGTTTTGTTTGCACCAGTCAGCAATTGTGTTAACATTATTTTGCAAATCAATACAATCATTAAGGTCATTAATTTTCTTGAACACTTTGAGTTCATCTGCGTATAATAGACAATGACAAGTTAGTTTTGGGATTAGGTCGTTTATAAAAATAAGAAAAAATAGAGGGCACAAATGAGACCCTTGTGGAATACCTGAATAATGATGACGGCAGTTGACTTATACCCCTTTACAGTAACTAATTGGCTACGGTTTTCTAAATAAGACTGTATCCATCGGAATAAATTATCATGGATGCCGTACCACTTGAGTTTCTGAGAAAGCAATGCATGATTCACTTTGTCAAAAGCTTTACGAAAATCGGTATATATTGTGTCAACTTGACCACTTACTGCGAAGGCTGAACAAAGACATGCCTTATATTGCAACAGATTTGATATTGTGGACTTTCCCTTGACAAAACCATGCTGTTGCTTGAAGAGAGCTGGTTGTACTTGATAATAAATTCGATCATATATTACAGATTCAAACACTTTCGCAATACAAGAAAGAATATTGATTGGTCTATAGTTTTCACATACAGAATAATCACCTGATTTGTGTATTGAAACAACATGTGCAAGTTTCCACGCTGATGGAAACGACCGTGCTCTTAAAGACTTGTTAAAGAGAATTTTCAAGGGTAGACTTAGCTCAATAGCACATTTTTTGAGGAATGTAGGTGATATTTGGTCTGGTCCTGTCCCTTTATTAAGATTTAGTGTCTTTAATTTCAGAGTTACATCATGTTTTGACACAGTAAATTCCGATAGCACGTTTACACACATTTTGAGTGATGGCAGTACTGATTGGGTGGAATCTTCGAATACTGAACTAAAGTACTGCAATAGTAAATCGCAAATTCCAGCTGCGTCTGAAGCTCTGGCGTTACCAAGCGTTATTATGCTTGGGATACCTTTTTTTAGCTTTTCTGTTATTAACAAAACTCCAAAAAGCTTTGGTATTTATATCTTTAAAAAGGAATCCACCGCCAAGTCAATTTGGTCGTCTGAAAGGAGAGTACCGCAATCAACACCCTTGATTTCTCTACGTATAGCATCATAGTTACCTTTATCAAAATTAAAACGTTTATTATACTTAGGTTTGATATACTTTGGCTTAGACAGTGTGTTAACTGATATTTCAAGTGGATCCGTATCGATAAATATCACCCGATACGGGATAATAGACTAGTTTTAGAAATTAAAATACTAGTAGAGGAGGAAAAACAAGGTCTAAAGTGCGATCTAATTCATTCCGAACATGATTCATCTGATACAAATTGCATTAAGAAATATAATCACATAATAAAATAGCCTGAGTCCGTGGGACAGCTTGGGGCAAGGTAAGGACTATTACCATTTAGATTAACAGACCATGATAAACTTGGCACATTAAAGTTCCCAGTACTATATTAGTGTCATTTGAAGATATTTTACTTAAATTTTTATGTAAGTTCTCGTAAAAGTACTTAAGTTTATTAGAGGGTAAATCAGGAGGAAGGTAACAGAGACATAGGTTAATGACAGACTTCATTGGACTATCGAGAAAAACTGATATCCACAATTCTTCCACTCTTTATGGCGAATTGCCTTAAACTCCTTTTTAATAGCTATTAGTACACCGCCACCTTCAGATTTGTTAATACAAGTAGACTCTCGGTCTCTCCGGTATACAATGTAACGACAATTAAACAGCTCATTATCAAATACAGTATGATTTAAGTTTGTTTCATTTAAACAAATACAATCGTAATTGCAATTTAGCATGTTTAAATATAACTCTGTTGTCTTTGATCTAATAAGATTTATATCTTGGTAGTAAAATTTCATGTAGAAACGTTGTTAAGAATCCAAGTAAATATATCAGTCGATTCAGCTATTACAAATTTTTCATTCACGTAATCTAAAACAAACTCACTTTACTTCAAGTTTCTCAAAGTTACTTAAGTCTCTAATCAATAATACTGATTCGTTGTCATTTTTCCGCATGCACATGCGTTCATATTTAACCCAAACATATTTGTATAAGTTATCTTTTGCAAACTTCTTAGCTTCAGCATAAAGCTTTTTGGTAGTAGAAGAGAGATGTTCAGTTACATATATGGCAGGAGATTCTCCTTCAATCCCAAGGCAGGTAGAGTTTAAGTGATTGGGGCGGTTAGTTTTGTTGTAACGTTTTACTGCCGATAGTAAAATGTCCCTCTGCCGCTCAGTTTGTAATGTAAGGAGAATATTTCGTGGTCTGTCGGGCTTTGAATTAATTTTAGCAATTCTACGTACAGAACAGATGCAGTTCATATCCAGACTTACATTCACGGTGTCATGAAGTTTTTGTATAAGATGTAGTAAATTTTCATTACGTTTTTCCCGAACCATTTGGATTTCAACGTTATGGCTTCGTGAGATTTTTTTCGACGCTCATTAAACGACGATCTAATGACTCAATATTTGACTTAAGTGTAGATCGCTCAAGTTCTAGTGTTTTAATTTTATTATTAGCCACCTCAAGTTCCTTTAGAAGGTCATCCTGCCTTTTCTGAAGAAAATCGGTGGCTACTGTGAAATCCGATTCTAACTTATTGATGGTATGGTTAAATTCCTTCGTCACTATTGTATGTACTTCTTGCACTACATCTTTCTTGAAGTACTAAGTTTACGATCGAGAAGAGCTTTGATTTGTTCTATGGTAACGGAGTCCGAGATTTTTTATCGCAACGCGTGTTGAGATGCACTGTTACTAGATTTTTTTCAAGCGTGATGATCGTTGCAGCTTTTCATCACAGGACATATTAGAGATATCTGCCTGACTTGCTTGGAGGGAACGTATGTCGAACTTACCAACTGGTGTACTATCATTTCTGCACCGAGTTATATTAGTGCAAGATGGACAATACCACCTCTGCTTTTTTCCACTTATTCGTCGAAATATATTTGCTTCTTTATGTTGCAACACACGTAATGAAACGTATTGTCACAACCAGCGCATTTAATTGGGCCGACATCTCCGATAATGTAGTGTAGACACGCACCACATTCCATGCTCGTAATTGAATCGAATAGTTCGAAATAATGAACAAGACCAAATACTCAAGATGTTAACAAACGTCGCGTACACATTTGTAGCCAATGAACGACAATGCGTAGCCGCAATGCGATAGCGTATCGTAGCAAAGTTTGTAGCACTTTGTAGTCGATCTCCGAAGTGCCCCGAACACCAACGATAACGCACGAGATTCACAGAGGTGGGGAGGCGCATCAAAGTACTCCTTAGTCACAAGCGAATCGGCCCGAGCTCCACCGAAATCGACCGAATGCTCGTATAACAACGACCCGCACTTGATATTTGTTACTGATGACGGTGAATTAATATTTAACGTCACCAAATATACACTGTGTTTGTTCTTATGGCTGTTAATATAACAAAAGACTTATTGCACTACCAAATACTATATTTGATGCACTTTAAAGTGATATGAGTTTCGTTATTATCTATTACCTTTTAACACTATTTATGATTATTTAATCACGAACGAAACATAAACGATGTTTACGGTACCGTAAACTTGAGCTACCTAAGATTATCGTTTGGCATTTAGACGGGTTCACGTTTATGCCATACACAGTAGACCATTCTGAGATATATTTCAAATCATCATTTAACAGTGAAATAGCACTTAGGATATTTGAAGGTTCCACTTGCGCATATAACTGCAGATCATCAGCAACACATGGTAAGAGCTCTTGAGATTTAGTGTGATGAGATTTATAAAAATGGAAAACAGAAGAGGAGAGATAATACGACCTTGAGGGACGCCAATTGACACATCACGCCAGTCAGAAAGTATATGGCCAGTACGCACAGCCTGTTGGCGCCCTCGAAGATACGTTGAGAACCATTCCTGAGCTGAAGATGAGATATTCAAATGAGAAAGAAGATTGATTAAAACTACTTTTACGAATTTTATCGCGTTTATTTTACTATTATTTTTAATTCGTTTCCAGCACCCATGGTCACGGGGGACTGAGATGACTGACGTCCCGATATCAATCAAATCTGATGTAATGGTTGGGGCCGTCCAGGATATGATTGCAAACTGCAGACTTCCCGGAACGTTGATGCTTCACATCAGCTATATGTTCTTTTACGCGGATTCTAATTGATCTTTTTGTTTGTTCTATATAAGAGAGACCACATTCACAATCAAGCTTGTATACTCCTGCATCTTGTAGAGGAATATTACACTTGACTGATGGTAGGAACTGACTAATCTTCTTCGGCGGCTTGTAGAATGTTCTAATAAAAGCTCGCTTCAAGATGTAGCCAATCTTTTACTCTGACTGTGACACCTCTAACATATGGTAGTACAGCAGGCACACGCTCAACTGTGGCCGGCTTCAATCGGTCACTGTGACGTAGGCGCGGGACCCGAAGCTTGTTGTCGTGCAGAACTTGCTTGACGTGCTGAAGCTCGGCGGCCAGGTGTTTGCTGTCACAGATCCCTCGTGCTCTCTGTAACAAATATTTGCCCACGGTAGCTAACTGTGAAGGATGGTGGTGAGATTCACCGTTTAAATATCGGTTTGTATGGGTCTTTTTCCTATACAAAGTGTGACTAATGGTGTTGTTAGGATTTCGGATGACTAACACATCTAGGAAAGGTAAGAAATTATTTGCCCCTAACTCCATAGTAAATTGAATTTTAGAGTTTATGGAATTAAGATGTTCTAAAAATGCAGTTACTTTTTCTGATGGTAAAATTGTGAAAGTATCGTCTACGTACCGCTTGTAGATCCTTGGTGTAACAGGTGAAGTAAGGGGGGGCTTTCTCCTCAAAGTCTTCCATGAATATATCGGCGACAATGGGAGATACAGGTGAGCCCATCGCAACACCATCTACTTGCTTGTAAAACTCTTCCTTCCACAATGGATAGCCAGATGTAAGGCAATGTCTGAGTAATACTGCATATTCTGCTGGTATATTTTTGTCAGTGAGATAAAAGACCTACGTATTACTGACAATGAAACCATGGTCAGTTTTGATGTTCAGTCTCTATTTACATGCCTACCTGTTGAAGACTGCATCTCAATCATAACTAGGAAACTAGAGGAAAATATTAAAAGATTTAATATTATGTCTAAGGAGAGAAAACAGAAATGGAGATGTGTTTTTTTTTCTTTATTAGGATTACCAACGATTGATACATTATTACATCATTAATTAAAATTTACAGTTTCGTTATTTCTAAATGTACAATCACTTAAAGGTAATCACAACATGCTATCAATTTACATTTTAGTACTATATAAGGTATCTGAGGAATTCTTTTTTTTAAATAATTTGATATTGTATGAACGAGTGCGCGTGCACGTGCGTGTGCGTGTGCGTGTGTGTCTGTTTGTGTGTGTATGTGTGTGTGTGTGTGTGTGTGTGTGTGTGTGTGTGTGTGTGTGTGTGTGTGTGTGTGTGTGTGTGTGTTTTACATTAATTATTAACAATTTGGTACATGATCTGTACTTTCACAATGTTTGAAGTACTTATATAAATTCTTATAAAACTGACATATGGAATCACAATTAACATCAACGACATCACTACATACATTAAAGTCTTTACAAAACTTTGCGACTGGCGAATGCGCATCGAAAATAGTTCTACGAAATGGTGAATAAAGAAGTGTAATTGGTTTGCGCAGAATTCTAATTGGAGTGCGAAATTTAAATTGGGCGAGAAGCTGTGGACAATCTACTTCATTTCTAAGCACCTTGTATAAAAACATAATATCTATTCATTTTAGACGTATCGATAAGGGTAGCATATTAAAATATTGAAGTCTATCTGCATAGGATGATATTTTTAGTACTTTTCCAACATAGTATGTAAGATGCAACATAAAGTGTTTTTGAACTCTCTCCAATCGCAACGAATGTGTAGAATAGTGGGGACGCCAGACAACACCGCAGTACTCCAATATACTCCTTACAAGGCTATTGTACAATATTTTTTTTGTTTTAGGGTTTTTAAATGACCTACCATTTCTTATGACAAACCCTAACATTTTGGAAGATCTATTTATAATACTATCAATATGAGGTACAAAAGTTAGTTTTTTGTCAAAATATACACCAAGATCCCTTATCACTTCTACTTCTTGTATTTTGTTATTCCCTATGAAGTAATGGTCAACTTAGTATTTCTTGTAAATTTAACATGTGAACATTTAGAATAATTTATTAATTGCGTTCACGAAAAACAAAATAGCAGTACAATTATTTCACCTATGGGTACTACAAATTTAAACAGACAAGAGCAAAAAACTATCGAGAAAAATACTGATTAGCACAAATATGAAAAAAATGTGACAATAAGATCTAAAAAAAAATTACATAATACATGTATCAGCTCGCAGATGAACACCTCGTTGACTTCATCTGATTCGGAATATGACATAAAGAGTTTACCTGATATTTCAACCCCATTCAATTTCGAACTGGAAATCATAAAGGAAGAATTGAAAAGAACTAAAAGCATACTTGCTAGCGCTAATTTGGAAATAGAGAATCTATTGCTTGAGAATAGCTCACTTAAAAAAAAGAATATGGAATATGAAAAGACGATTTCTCAACTAAGAGATACATGTAATAATCTTTTTTTACGGGTCTCAAAAGTCGGTCAGTTCGATACGGAAAAGGAAAAATAGGAAAAGTTCTATATTAAATATTGATTCAAGCAAAGAAAATAAGCAGGACATGTTGATTACGACAAAAACAAAATTGTTAAATGGGCAAAATGATTCTCAATTGAGTTTCCATAAATGTCCGCTAGATGGAACTACAGAAACAACGGAAAGTAAACAGCCGCTAAAACAACTCAAAGAACAGAAAATGGAAACTCAATCAACACATACTACATTAAAGCAAAAAAAAATTATAATGCCTTGCGACTAAACTACTCATGGATCGAGAAATTAGGGGTGATAATAACTACAAAATTATGTCATTTATAAAACCACAATCTCTTTGTGCAGATTCGTTGGACTACTCTAATCACATAATTAAGAACTTAAACCATGACGACAAGATTTAAGCTTGGTGCTTTATAAGTTAAGTAAATGTAGTAGAGTATATATTTTAGAAGTCGTAAATAATCCTTATTTGAATACTAAAACATTAAATGATAATATAGCTTCTTTAGTTAGGTTGTATAATAATTGTACTTTTTTGACATCTAGTGGTAATTTTTATAACGTAAAAGAATATTTGTGGCATATGAGTCAAAAAATAAATTTTAATATAGATTGTTTTGACTATGATACATCATTTCTATCATTAAGTAAATTAAGAAATAGATTGACACACAACAAAACTATTAACTCGC